TTATGTGGGAGATATAATGAAACAAACTTGAAACTAAAAGATTGAAACCCAAAGAATATATGAAAATTAAAAGGAATAGAAAAGCGTTGGACATAGGGTTTTTTTTTGGAGAGAGAGATTTTTTTCTTTGAGGGAAAAATATTGAAAAATTATTTAATTAATTAATTAATTGAAATACAAACTTTTTTATAAAATAACATTTTCATACCATTCATAAAGGAAATTTTTGTGAAAAGCCATAAAAACTATTCCTTTTTTTGCAAATGTTTATAAAAACCATTTTTCTTAAATTTATTTCCTTTTTTTTGCGCCAAGTAGTGTCCGATCAAAACACAATTTTCTCTTCCATAGGGGTAATCTTTTGTCATAGAAATAAAAATTAATCGAGGAAATCGACACAATGTGAACATTGAAATATTATTTTTTTTTGAGAGGTTTTAATAGGAAAGAAATTTAGCAACATAACTTTTTAAAATTCAGTAAAAATTAGTAAAAAAGAAATAATTTTGGCAACGACTTTGTAAAAAGAATTTACTAATAGATTGAGCAAAACATTTGGTAAAAATATTTTATATAAAAACTTAAAAAAAGGATTGGAAATTAAAAAGCCCGAATGTTTCTTCTCTGGCCTGAATGCCTTAAAATGATTTTTTTCAATAAATAAAATTTATAGAGAGTTTGTATCTTCCTTTTTTGGTTTTTGGCCTCATTTTTTTTGTGAATTTCATTCTCTTAATGCAATAAATCACTACCCCACTTCCTCGTTTTCCTTATGTGAGAAGAGGCACCGAATCAAATGACTGGTAAAAATGTTTCTAAATTTGTAATTTTAAATGCACGTGAATTCTTTTTATTGTTTGTTTCAACCCTTTTATTTCTCTTTTTATGAGAGGAAAGAAATTTGTTGTGTAAAGACATAAAAATTAAAAAAATAAAAAATAAGATCAAGGATTATGGTTTTTGACTGACTTTGACTTTTGGACTCGTTTTTTCTAGTATAAACTTTATTTTTTATTCTTATTATTTTTGAAATAGGGTTTTCACTGTGAACCGGAAACCATCCGGTGCTACCAGTAAAGTGTGTTGGTCCCAGTCCCTATAGAGGTGTCCCTTCTCAAACGCAGTGGTGCATTCCTTTTCTATCCTTTTGGAGTCTACGATATCGCTCTCTTCACTCTCTTTCTCAAACTCTCATTTGTGGTCCAGAAGGACCTTAGAAGAGAAATATGAATTTTATTGAATAATATAAAATGTAAGATAAGCGCGACAAATATGATAATAAAGGTAAAATACATTTCGATTAATAATAACATAATAAGTAACGAGAGCATGTTAGATATTCAGGGACTTATATTATAAGCGCTTTTATTTCCCTTTTCATTTTATTTATTGTAAGATTACATTGAAGATTAAATAGCTTTATTTCAACTAAAGAGAGGAATACGCTTGCTCGCTGATTTAAAGCCTTAAGTGAATGCTGACTGAACCCCAAGTGAATCTCAACTGAACTTCACTATAACTGTTTATCGCTCGCTTTTATGCTAGGATAAATTGATAGGCGGGGACTTTTACATTTTAGGATTTGCAATTTAAGTCTCCGCCTTACAATTATGTATCTAAAAAATATTGTAGGCATCATACCCTATTTCTAGAATTTATTAAAAATTTCCTGTATAAGTATTTAGCATTTTTAAAATATTAAATAAATAGATGGATCAGGCAGGAGTTGATGTTATTTTAATCGGAGATTCACTTGGTTGTGTTATACAAGGAAAACAAAATACTTTATCTGTTAGTCTTGAAGATATTATATATCACACAAAAATTGTCTCAAATGGAATTAAAAGAGCTTTATTAGTTGCTGATTTGCCTTTTTCTGTAAGTTTTTTATTCATGTCCTGTTTTGTGGACTATAGTTTTGCAGACCCGTACATTGGACCCCAAATTTGCGAAAAAAATGTTGCAGACACCGAACGTTGAATTATCAACGTTCGTTGCGCATTTTTATTATGTACGTAAGAAATAAAATAAATATGTATTTTAGTGTTCTTATAGTGTTGAAAAAGTCATTGAATCTTCTGTTTCTTTACTTTCTAAAGCTGGGGCAGCAGCAGTCAAATTAGAAATACCTTCGAATTCTGAATTACATTTAAAAATGTTAAGAGAACTTAACTCTTTGTCTATTCCTGTTTTTGCACATATTGGATTAACTCCACAATCTGTACATTCACTTGGTTATATATATATTATTTAATTTTAATTAAAGCAAATATTATTATCCAAGAAAAGCAGATACTGTTCCGTTAAGTACATATAATAAATATAATAAATCCATGATCCAATTAATAATATTTATTTACGTAGGTGCTATAATCAAATAGGTGATATAATCAACATAAGGGGGAATAATAAATAAAATAACAAATAGTCTACCGTATAAAGATTATGGATCTAGGAAAAAAGGATAAAATCTAGGCATTGCACAACTGATTGAACGTAAGGTTGGAAAGGGATTTATATACGTGGATCAGGGATGTCACGGGTTGAGAAAAATGTCGGGTCGGGTTTCCAAAATTTTTCTCGGATCGGGTTTCGGGTTGAACAAAAAGTCGGGTCGGGTTTCGGATCGGGTTTTCAAAATTTTCTTCGGATCGGGTTTCGGGCTTCGGGTCGAAAAAAGCCAAAATTTTGAGAATTTTGGAAGGCCAAAAAGCCAAAAATCTTCCCTTCTCAGCGCCGCAGGCGAAAATTTTGAGAATTCATGAAGGTCCGAAGTCAGATTTCTTCCTTTTTCAGCGCCGCAGGCGAAAATTTTCAGAATTTTGGAAGATCATTAAGCTAAAAATCTTTCCTTTTTCTGCGACGTGGGCGAAAATTTTGAGAGAACTCGGGTCGGGTTTCGGATCGGGTTTTGAAAAATAAAAATTCTCGGGTCGGGTTTCGGGTCGGGTTTTAGAAAATTTCTCGGATCGGGTTTCGGGTATCGGGTCGAAAAAAAGGCCGGGTTTCGGGTATCGGTTTCGGGTAACCCGTGACATCCGTGACGTGGATGGAACATATTATATCAAAGAATAATAAAAGTTACATGGAAAATTGTAATTGTATATCTCTAACTTTAGATATGCCTTAAAATAATTATTTAATTTAAGGTGGTTATCAAGTTCAAGGAAATTCAAAATCAAAAAGAACTGCAGAAGAATTATTGGAATTTGCTATTCAGATAGAAAAATGTGGAGCATCTGCTATTGTTCTTGAATGTGTTCCTAAAGATTTGGCCAAACAAATCACAGATACTTTAGAAATTCCAACAATTGGAATTGGTGCTGGTATTCATTGTGATGGACAGATTCTTGTTGTAAATATTTTTTACATTATTTTTTTATTTAAAAAATTTTGATAATCTGTCATCCCACCCATTTTATTCTTCTCCTTTCTCAAAAAATAGTACACCTAAGTAAAATTTACATACCGTAAATGCTGAAATAATGTCCCTCTCTCAAATAATTACCCCCTCCCTATTAATTACCCCCTCCAGCGATAGATCGAAAAAATAATTACCCCTCCTAAGAATTGTTATAATTAGCCTTTTTAAGAAAAGCTCAAATAATTACCCCGCCCCCCTCTATTAATTACCCCTTCCAGTGAGAGGTTGAAACAATAATTACCCTGGGTAATTATTTTAGCAAATACGATATGTACTGTTAAGCATTTATAACGATCTATGGCGATCACCTTATGCTTTTTTAACTCTGGGTAAGTAGGGCTAACAATTCACACAAAGGATTCACATGAATATTCCGAACAGATTCGCATTAGTACTTAATGCAAAAGCTCGTGACTGACTATATAACTCACTTTGACCCATCTAGACTTTTTTGGAGAAAGAAAAAGAAACGAGAAGAAAAATATGCGGTGGGATAACAAAATAGACTCATTTTTCCTAGGTTTATGATCTTCTTGGAATTGGAGAAAAACCTCCAAAATTTGTCAAAAATTTTTTAAAAGATCAAAATTCTATTCAAAATGCATTTATTTCTTACGTTAAAGAAGTACGTGAAAGGACTTTTCCTGAAGAAAAACATTCTTATCATTAAATAATTTATTGACTCTCGTTGTTAACTCTCATTAAAATAATTTTTTTAATAAATATAACATTTTTAATGTGTTAAAAATTTTAGCATTTAATTTACTACAAGTTCAAATAAAAATACATAGTTTTAACGGGAAAAATAAAAAAATTTTCATTTAATTTGTTTGTTAAAACTATTTAATATAGGAATTATTTTGTGTTCTCCGAACAAATTAATGTTGTAATTTGCGTAAAATAAATTGAAATTAACGAATTACTTTTAAAAAAATATTTTTTTTCAAACTTTTTGCTATTTTTGCTTGGTTATTTCAATTTTAAATTAATAATTTAATTATACCTTGTAAAATTAGGATATATCTTCGAATCTCCATGAACATTCAATTTCCGAAAAGCTCTGATTCCCTAAGTTTTTTAGCTTCTAATAATAATATAATAATAATAGAAAACATAAAAAATTTCAATATACACAGCCTTAGTTCAGGGTGACACAACCACAAAAATTATTCAGATAATTCCGAAGAAGGGTCGAAATATAGTGCGGCCCCCTCAATTATTACGACCCTTTGGAAGAAGGTAGAAAAATAGTACGGCCGGCGTACTATTTGAGGAAATACGGTATATTTTTTTATTTATTTTAATTAAAATAAACGAGTAAATTTTGTAATTTCCTTAAACAAAATTTTAAATTACTATTTTTAACAAACATTCGTTTTTAAACAATTTGTAGTTTATATTTTCTCTAAATTTTTCGCAAAAAATTACTTAAATTATAAAATATTTTATTTGATAAATTTGTAATAACCCAATTATTTCTTTGCTTTATTTTTTGCAGATTTTTCGAAAAAAATTATTTGATTTAAATAAATAATGTAATATTATAAAATTAAATATTTAAAATAATTAACAATTAATGGCCGGTTTATTATACTTACTTAAATTATTATTATTTAATTTCATTTTAATATTTCCATTCTCAATAATTTTAATTGTTCAAGCTACAATTTCAAAAGATTTTTCAAACTTTTTAATTAAAGAATATGGGGACGAAGTAGAAAAGTTAATTGCTAGAAGAGATTTAGGTTTTGGTGGAAGTTTTGGGGGTGGCCAAGAAAATGAAGGAAATAAGTGAATTTTTTATTGTAAATTTTTAAAATTACCTTTAAAAATCGCAAATTGACTTACGTATAAACCTAAAGCTTAATGAATGAAATTTTGGTCTTCAAGTGAAATTTGGGATTATAAATGTTATTATTACTCGGATATTTTATTAATTACTGCGATAACTTGGAATGATTAGTTCGAATATTCCATTGTTCCAATTATTGCATTAAAAATATCTATAAAACTTGGAATGATTAGGAATCATATAAGCACGGCAAATAGATCTAAAACGAAAAAAGATCAGTCCTGATGGGATACTGAACGTTTAATATTTTACATACAAGAGCTATCAGGATCAATTATAATCCAATCTTAGTTACTTTTTATGAAAGGGTTGTCCACTTTAAAATAGTTGGAATAATTTCAAAAAATTTATCAATAAAAATTAAATTATAGCCGTATTTCAAAAAGACGGCCGATAATCTTCGTTCACGGATTAACAAACGTTGCGGGAACATACGAATATATTCGACGTTATTTCCTCACAAAGGGATATAATAATTCTGAACTTTATGCAACGACATATTCCTATGGTGTTAAAAGATTTCTTAAAGATAAGATGGAGTGCCGACATATAACTCAGGTTAACATTATTAATTAACTCAATTTCTAAATTTATTTATTCTTTTTGAGCATATAAAAAATAATTTATATGATCAACTAATTACTCCGAGTAATTATTGTTATATCCTCGTTATAGAATTACTCTCTCTATAATTTCATCCTATCTCACAATAATTATTGTTTCATCCACTCTTGGAATGTTCTCCCATAATTTACCAAAAAGTTTTTGGAAATTTATTTGTATTCCGGCACTGCTATAACCATAATTAAGTATAACATAATAATATAGATGGTATAACCATAATATATAGACAAAATAAATATTATCTTAAGATTCGTCTTCTGATCGAAGCAGTTTCTCGGTATAAAAATTCCAATATTGACGTTGTAGCTTTTAGTATGGGATCACCTATGGCAAGAAAAGTAATTATAAAATATTAACTGACGAAATATTATTAAATTTAATTTTAAATAAAAAGGCAATACTTGGTGGAATTTGTGTTGATACTGGACAATACTTAGGACAACCATTAACTAATTTAGTCCATACATTTATTGGAGTTGCTGGTGCTAATAGAGATGCAGAGCCTTTATGTAAATTATTATCTTGGTCAGAACCTTGTAATCAAATAAATGGAATTTCTTGTAATTCTGTATTTCTGAGAGATATTAATTCAGTGTAAATATTTTAATTATTATTATTTTTTATTTTTGAAAAATGTAAAAAATGGGCACACATTTTTTAGCTAAAACTTTTTTTGAAGGTAAATTGTTAATACATTTTTCCCTATATACCTGACATTTTAAGGATTTTTTATAGCTAAAAATAAAAATATGATAAATTAATTATAAAAATATTTAGTGTAGGTTATGAAGCCTTTTCACGAATTTCAGTAATTCGTTCTGTAGATGATACAATTGTCGGTAATATTGCATGTGACGGACAGTCTGTAAGTTCAATTAATGGACAGAATGATGAAATAGTGGTTAATATTAACTAATTAAAAAAGTATTTTAAATAATTTAGTTGAAGGGTTACTCTCACCCAATGATAATTTATGCAACTCAGGAAATTATTTATAGAATAATTCAAGGATTGAATAATTAGATTTAAAATTAAAAATTCTGTCTTTGATTATAATAAGATCTCAATTATATGAAAATATTTATTTAATAATCTAAATTTTATTTTTAAAAAGTAATTCTAATTGATTAGCAACTTTGACAATCACTTCTATATTGTTCGATCCTTCTATTTATAAATAAATCTTCGCTAGGAGCATAAGATATTCTTAAATTTTCGGTCCCGATCTTCTTAGTTATAAAGAATTTCCTTTAAATCCATGGCAAAATCTTCCATGACATTTACTTAGCTAGATCTTGGCCATGTTTCAGTGTATTATCCCCAAATTTAATGCTCCTGGCTATTTGTCAATTTTCTTTTTTTTGTTACAAAAACGCAACAGATAGAAAAACAAAATATTTACATTTAAAAATTTAAATTTATAGTTCACAGAATTACAAATTAATTACAAATTACATCGAATAAATATAATAGTTGGTTCAAAAATCTAACATTTATAACTTTTTATTTAAACATCATCCACCCATCTTTGTAGTATCGGTGTAACCTCATTAGACTTACAAAATATAAAACTTCTATAAGGTTTGTGGGTTAATATAGAAATAATTGGATTGAATAAAGGTACTGTATGTAATATAAATGATTCCGGTAATATAATATATGATCTGTTATATTGGGATTCTAAAACTCCAAACAAGATCAAAGGAACCACAGTAACTATTTGGCATATTAAAGGAATAAGTGCCTGAAATTTAAAAATAATAAGAATATTTTAAAATTAACAGAGAAGTAAAATTTAAAAATATTGAGTATTCTAATTTGATAGATATATCTACTAGTGTTGACACGAGACGATATATCGATGATATTTTTCGAGATATCGCGAGATTTTTTTCGAGATTATCGATCTCGATCTCGTCTCGATCAATTTTTGAAAAATCGAGATTTTTCGATATCGAGATTTTTCGAGATTATCGATCTCGATCTCGTATCGGTCAAGTCAGAAATATCGGTCAAGTTAGAAAGACGTCTTTTTCAGAAAGACGTCTTTTTCAGAAAGACGTCTTTTTCAGAAAGACGTCTCATTTATATTACATACAGGCGATCACTTATGAGTCCAGTAAATACAGAAATGTTAATTTTTCTGAACCAATTTTTGGCAATTTTTGGTAATTTGGCAATTTTTTGTGGCAAATTTATATTTAGCTCATAATTATATTGATTGGAATAAATTTTTATTCAATTCTAAGGGATTATAAAAAATATCGAAATATCGCGATAATCTCGAAAATTTTGGACCGAGATTTTTCGAGATTATCGATCTAGATCTCGTCTCGATCAATTTTAGGAAAAATCGAGATTTTTTCGATATCGAGATTTTGGCCCTATCCCAATATAAGGGCGGAATCGTTTTTTTTTCATTACTTTTCATTACTTTATAAAAAAGGTCAATTTTCCTTAAAGTTGATGTAATGTTGATGTTTGCCTTAAGGAAGAATGGAGGACAGACAATGACAGAAACACGGACGTACACAGAACACAGACGTGTACGTCCGTTTTTGTCTGTCCGTGTTTTTCAGTCCGTGCTCGTCCGTGTTTTGTCTGTCCAAAACACGGACGAGCTCGGACAGAAAAACACGGACGAGCACGGACTGAAAAACACGTGCAGACAAAAACGGACGTAAACGTCCGTGTTTCTGTCATTGTCTGTCCTCCATTCTTCCTTAAGGCAAACATCAACATACATCAACTTTAAGGAAAATTGACCATTTCTATAAAGTAATGAAAAGTAATGGAAAAAAACGATTCCGCCCTTATATTTGGATAGGGTCGAGATTTTTCGATAATCTCGATCTCGAAAAATCGCAAATGCCTAACACTATTATCTACCATAATAGATATGTATGTTATACCAATAAAATTAAAGTCAAGGTGAGTTGTTTCAGCATTTTCTTCATATTATTATCATATCCAGTATGTGCATTTACATAACTTATCATTTTTATGGCACAAAACAAGATAATTGAATATGTTAGAACATGAGGAATAAAAAAATGATTAATTCTGCTTTCTTGAAAAAATATTTTTTATATAATATATGTATAAAAAATTATTACTGATTGAATACTTCCTATTAAAATAAAATTCCAATTATCATTAATTTCATTTATTGTCTCAATGCCTCCTCCAATATACGGCAGAATAAAATAAAAATATAATTGTAATAAAATATCCAAAATAAAAGTAATTAAAATCATCAGAAAATAATGAAAGAAACTAATTTTCTTGTTTCTAAAATTAAAAGGGAAAATAAAAATTTAATTAATCGGGGTCAACCCTGAAGACCTACACCCCCAAGACCTACACCCTGAGGACCTACACTCTGAAGACCTACACCCTGAAGACCTATTTACCCTGAAGACCTACAACTTTTTGATCAACTCAAATTGTTTATAGTAGGGGATATCGAGGATAAGAGAAGACCTCTTTGTCCTTATAAATCTCTCTATCCACTTAAAACATTAAAATCCTCGATATCCCCCTTAATCCCTGTTTATCCCCATTAAAACTTCAAATCCATCTGATATCCCGCTTAATCCCTCCTAGCTCCTCTTTACCTCCTATAAATCCCCCCATTAGACTTGTAAAGAAATAAAAAGTAAAAAATTGTGTTGATCAAAAAGTTGTAGGTCTTCAGGGTAAATAGGTCTTCAGGGTGTAGGTCTTCAGGGTCAGTAGGTCTTCAGGGTGTAGGTCCTCAGGGTGTAGGTCTTGGGGGTGTAGGTCTTCAGGGGTGGACTCAATTAATCTTATTTAATTAAATTTACTTTAAAATATTTTTAAGTATAATTACCTATTTAATATCAAATATCTATAGATAAATTGTAAACAAATTCCATGAAAATTTAAACTATAAAATAGTATCCAAATATTTAACCAAATATCAAAAAACAAGGGATTCGAATTATTTTTTAGTAAATCAACAAAAATTCCATTTGGAAATATAAGATAAATTCCATTATTTAGCACAATAAACTAAAAATATATACATTCGGATTTCAATTTTACATACTCATAGAGTTATAAAAAATTAAAAAAAAAATACTATGTAAAATTGAGTTGGAGTAAAATGTTTAGGAAAAAATTATATGTTAGAGTGAGATGTATCTAAATTTTGATATATAATAATATTGTGCGTATTGCATAGGTTACCCCCAGTTAAAATAAAAAAATCGAATCCTACTTTATACAGTATATTCACAAATAATTACTCTGAGTAATTATCGTTTCAATCCATTCTTGAAGGGGTTAATTAATAGTCATATTAATTAATAGAGGTAAGTATATACTAAATTTGATAAGACTACTTGTGCTATACCTACATTTTTAGAGGTAAGTATATACTAAATTTGATAAGACTACTTGTGCTATACCTACATTTTTAGAGGTAAGTATATACTAAATTTGATAAGACTACTTGTGCTATACCTACATTTTTATAACTACATTTTTTATATCTGGCCTTTATCAGTTTGATTCAATTCTCTAACTCGATGAGAGGAATCGTTTAATACTAAATTTGATAAGACTACTAGTGCTATACTTACATTTTTATACCCCCCTCCTCTCCCCCATTTCCCAGGAGAAGGAAAAGGACGGGGGATAAAATGTAAGGAAATTATTAATTTATTAATTTACTGATTGCCCAAATAATTGTATAGTTAATAAAATTAAATCCAAAAAACAATTCTGTAAAAGAATTCTACTATGTAGTTTAACTTCTTTCGGCGTTTTATATAGTATTAAGAATATTAATAAAAAATTAGCAGCATATCCAAATATTGTAATTAACCAAAAGTCTAATTTAAATAAAACATATAATACAGGGTGCGGCAAATTAAGCGCGCGTTTATTTTTTGCCATAACTTTCTTCAATTTTAATGAAAATTGATAATTCTTTTTTTGTTTTATTCCCAACACTTTAGGAAACTTGCTGATACCAAATATTAAAAATTTGGTTCACTGTTGGCAAAGATAATCGAGTTCGATCGTCTGGAAAATTTAAAAACATTTTTTATGCCAAAGTTTAATTGATCATAACTTCGTTCAAAATCGTTCAATACCAATGATTTTGGTACTAAACGACTCATCTCGTTCAGGAGCATCGAAATAGCTTATAATCTCATTTTTGAAAATTTTACACAAAAATTTTATTTTTATCAAAATTATTTTAATTTATCATTCAGAGGACCGTATCTCATTCGATTTTTGTCTTAGCCCCATGATTTTTATGTCATTCGAATCAGAATGAAGAGCTGATTCGAATGATATAAACATTTCCAATATTAAAATCCCAGCCTTGAATCTAGGCCAATTTTTATCCAAAAAATTCTGCTCAAACTTTGAGGGAAGTTTACTCAGAGTAAACTTAAAATTAAAAAGCAATTTTGGTATCAGCAAGTTTCCTAAAGTGTTGGGAATAAAACTAAAAAAGAATTATCAATTTTCATTAAAATTGAAGAAAGTTATGGCAAAAAACAAACGCGCGCTTAATTTGCCACACCCTGTATATTTAAATTCATAACTGTTGTTGGTAATGCTAAATTGGTTGTTGATGACATTTTTATTATTTATTTTAATTATAGAAAATAAAACAAATAATTTTAAATATGTATATAGAAATGAATATGTACAGGGTGCGGCAGCTTTTTGCGGGTGCGGCAGCTTTTTTTTTCTAAGAAAATTATGATACTAAAATTTGATTTAAATTTTCTAATTTAGCTTGCATAATTTTCCTTCAAAGGTTGCGTAGAATTTTTTGATAAAAGAAGAGTTGGGCAAAATGATACTGGTATCGGCCACCCGACTGAGATAACTCGATGGTACCAAAATTAGTAGGATAGGACAAGTTGAGCAAAGTTATGACAAATAAACTTTGTCATAAAAATGTTTTTTTGACGCGTTTAAATTTCGGACGGGTATATATTTACTAAATTTGAACCAAATTTCTATTGTTTATTACCAAAAATTTTCTTAGAGTGTTGTGTATATGTATAATATAAAAGGAATTATCCATTTTGGTTGACGTTGAAAAAAGTTATTGCAAAAACAAAAGGAGAGGAAAAGTTGCCGCACCCTGTATTTCTATAAGAAAATACAAAGTATTGGATTAAGTAATAAAAGTAAGTCACTAAATTACTTATAACTAAAATTCAATTCGGTGAAATAAAACACTTCTGACATGTGCCGTTTAAGGTTAGATAAAAATCGGCTAAAAATCTGTAAATTTTATCACTTTTTCTAGATATTATAGATCTCCACCACAAACTCTATTCTAAATATTTTCTAATTTATTTCTCAACGTTTGAATTTTTAAAACTTAACTGATATTGCTGGAACTTCTGGTTAATCCGACAACTTCAGATTTGATGACGATGACAAAAAATTAATGAGATAAAAAGAGATTTAATATTCTAAATTAACAATTTTCCTAAATAAAGTTTAATTTTACCGAAACTATTGAGTTTTTCCCTCGTTAACCCAAAATTACGGTGCTTAAATAATTATAAGTATAAAACTTTAAGTCAACAACTTATATTTTTCTTAACAAATAAAGTAAAATTAATATTGTTGAAATAATTATATAACGCCTATTTTTCCCACATAACACAAACAAATTAAACTCTAAAGAAATAATTTTAAACTTTCTCCATCTTAATAAATACGTAATAGTATCTAATTGTGGGAAAAATTTGTGCCGATTGAACCATTGTAACTAAGAGTAACGCCAAGATGTAAGATGGTGTTATAAATTTGTAAGGTCGAAGGGGACAAAACGACTTCATCCAAAAATTTTAAATCAAAGATATATTTAATCATTCGCAAACTGAAAAGAGCAATTCAACCTCACCAATCAATGAAACATTCTATCAAAAACAATTTTGTGTAAATGGATAAGAAATGACGTTAATAATTGGAAATCAGATTAGATTGAGATGTCGAAAATCGAAATAACGTTCGGCAGTTAATATTTGTGTCGGAAATTGGGTAGAAGGAGGTCAGAATCTGTTTGTTACTGTCCGCTTCATCTGCTCATAGTCCGTTGGAAAAATTACCTCCAAAATGATTTTTTATTTTGATAAATTTTATTTACTTTTATCCTTCTTGCCTGACTATTATTTGTTTTGACAATTTTAAGACGAGAAAACAGAAAAGAAAAGAAATGGAGAAGTAAAAGAAAATATGGGGAAATAAAGGAAAAGTACCTTAAATATAAGTAATTTTAAAAAGATTTATGTTACTGCACAAATCACTCAAACAAGTGATCGAAATATCTCTTTATCTTTAGTAATATTATCTGAAAAATTCGTCATTTTATTCCTTAATGTCTCTCATTTAGAGAAAGTCTGATTGAATGATTGAAATTGAGGATGGAAGAAAGTCTAACCATTCCGTACAAATTAAGAAAAACTGAATGTGGAAAAGAAATTAAAAATTTTGGCCGATAATGCAATAGTACTCTTAATTTTAAAAGAATAAGCATGCATTTCCCTTAATTTTAACATGAGTTTTTTTATTTGACATTTTTATTTCTCACGAAATGTGAAATTAAATATACCTAGTATAAAATGAATATCGCTTACCTCTTTTTGTTGCCGCAAATATTTTCGAAAAAAATTTTCCATGAGACAAACTGATACAATAAATCGAGAGATTTTTTTGTTGCTAGGTAATGAGAGGCAAAGGAATAAAATGCATCAAGGAAAACTTGCAGAAATTGAATTAGTTCATAATAATTTAGTTTTTATAAATATACATTTTATAAAATGGGGGAAGATGCACAATTACCAGCAAAATTTACAACAACATTATCTCAATTTTGTTTATTCTTGTTTATCTACCTCCCATTTACATATGATCATCTCCTTCTCAGTACCTCCTTGGATTGGTTAATTTGTGTACATTGTGTTTGTTCGACAAGGCTACACAATTTATAATAAACTGAATAGCTCCTCTCTATAATACATACTTTAGCTTCGTGTTTTCAACTACAAACATTTTTGTTGGTCTGACTATCTATTCTTTTTCCTAATTCTCTTGGACTTAACCACAAGGAAGCGCTAAAGTTTCTATAGGATCAGTATGGAGATAACGATGCTCAATTAGAAATATCCACTATCGATTGGAAAATTTGTAGATTTGTTCAACATTAAACGACGTCAAGAAATATTCGCTTGACCTTGAACGACTAGCCAGAGAACTGAAAAATATGGTAGTCGATATTGAAGGTCCAGCAGTCCACCTAATGCATTAAATATTCCAAAAGAATATTGAAAAACTAGTGATTAATATTAGAGGGTATTATTAGTACTTTATGATAAAAATTCGTATTGTGTATGTAAATTGAGAAAAATGTGTAACGATAAATCACTTTTGAGAATTTATCAATTAAAAAAGTCGTAATTATTTTCTCTTCTTTATTTTCTCAAATTTAATTTTACAACAATCTTTCCTGAGTTCAATACAACATGTCCAGTCAGATTGGGTTTTACCTAAATTATTTATTTATTTTTATACTAAATTAATCTTCCCACCAATGTCTCAGAACATCTTTTTAATTCAAATGAACGTAGTAAATGTACCAAAACCATTTTAACTTCCATCATTGCCAAACGCATTCCAATACAAATTCTAGGTCCTCCTCCAAAGGGATAATAATATTCTGTAGGTATATTCTCATTTGATAACCATCTTTCCGGTTTAAATTCTTCAGCATCTTCTCCCCAAATTTTTTTATCTCTATGTAAAGTAAATAAATCAGCATAAACATAAATTCCTTTCTCTATTTTTATATCTCCAAGGGTTGTAGCTTCTTCACATTTTCTGTTCACCACGCTTAAAATTATTTAATTTTTAATTAAAAAATTATTTTTCAATCCGGAACTAAAGCCGCTTTTTATGTGGCTAGTTCCTGGACTGGGAGTTCGAGATATTTAATTTCCAAAAATTTTTATTATTTATTTCATTAACCAACTCATTCGCGATTGGGCATAATCTTTGTGTTTCTTTAAACACAGCATCTGCATATTTTAATTTGGCCAATTGTTCGTAGTCAATTGTTTCTTCTTCTAATCCACAAATTTCTTCAATTTCTCCAAATAAACGTTTTTGAACGTGTGGGTAAATAACCAAATTGTGTGCTATTAAACTTAGAGTATTTGCTGTTGTGTCAAATCCAGCCAAGAGGAAGAGAAAACAATTAAGTACAATTTCGTCTAAAGTATTACAACGTTCAAACTGAAATCAAAATAATATTTGTTAAAAATAGTGAAAATAGTTTAAAAAACATTATTTAAAATCCTTGTATTCCTTTCACGCCAGAAATTTTTTATAAAAAAATTTTTTCCTTTATTTAAATAGAGATGGGCCACTTACGTCTTTCGGTCTAAAATAAATGAGTCCACCCCTGAAGACCTACACCCCCAAGACCTAAACCCTGAGGACCTACACCCTGAAGACCTACTGACCCTGAAGACCTACACCCTAAAGACCTATTTACCCTGAAGACCTACAACTTTTTGATCAACACAATTTTTTACTTTTTATTTCTTTACAAGTCTAATCGGGGGATTTAAAGGAGGTAAAGAGGAGCTAGGAGGGATTAAGAGGGATATTGATGGATTTGAAAGTTTTAATGGGGATAAAGGGTGATATCGAGAACTTTGAGGTTTTAAAGTGGGTAGAGGGATTAATCGGGATAAAGAGGATCTTCTGATATCTTCGATATTCACTACTATAAATAATTTGAGTTGATCAAAAATTTGTAGGTCTTCAGGGTAAATAGGTCTTCAGGGTGTAGGTCTTCAGGGTCAGTAGGTCTTCAGGGTGTAGGTCCTCAGGGTGTAGGTCTTCAGGGTAAATAGGTCTTCAGGGTGTAGGTCTTCAGGGTCAGTAGGTCTTCAGGGTGTAGGTCTTCAGGGTCAGGAGGTCTTCAGGGTTGACCCTAATACTATCTATGTACATATTTTTAACGTAAATCACCTTTTCCTTTTTGTTATAAGTCCCATTATTCGTTTTAAATTCAATTTTATTATTTTCAGCCTCAGATTCCAAAAAGAGGTCAATAAAATCAACCCATTTTTTATTATTTAAATTTTCTTCATTTTCTTCTTCTTCCTTTTCATTTTTCTTCATTTTCTCTTCTTTTCTTTTAACAACAGCTTTATGAATATTTTCCATTAAAATTAATATTGGATCTCCTCTTAATTTTCCCGTGGCATTAGAGAAAGGTTTAAGTATATTTTCTCCAATCCAAGGGAATATAAAAGAAATATAATAAAAAATATTATTGTTAATTCGAGTAAAAGAATCTTGAGCTATTTGACAATATTCTGATTTAAATTGCCTTGAGTCTTTTTGTCCCATTGCTATACGAACGATTACATCGAAAGTAAGTTCTACAAAATATCTTAAAAATAAATTTTAAATTTTAATGAAAATCAGGGTGTCCCTTTCCAAAACACCAAAATAGGGCAAAGCTACTCAAAAATATGGCAAAAATAGGGCGAAATTGGTCAAAAATAGGGCAAAAAATAGGGCATTGTTTTAAACACTTAAGAATACTTAAAATTTTAAAAAGAAAGCAAGATTCAATTTCAAAGATTTTACTAATATTAAAATGATAAATAAACACCACAAGAGAGATTCGTGACAAAAATATCTCAAGAACCAGGAGAAGACCCTCCAAATCTGCTGATATCACTATATCTAGAGTAGGTCGAGGCCTCGCCGAGGCCGGATTAATAAAATTTCTGAAAAAAATTCTCAAAATTTTCGCTTGCCTGCTGAAAAAAGGAAGCGATCTCGTGACTGATCTTCTAAATCGCTTGTGGCGCTGGGATTTGCGTGATATTGGCGAGGGATTGGCGAGGGATCAAGAGATGCTTTGACCCACTCGAGGCTCTCGATCTCTACTTCCTATCCTTTTAATTCTTGTGCTTTGGGATTAAGTTTAGATTTTTGGAGCGCCGCAGGCGAAAATTTTGAGAATTTTAGAAGGCCGTAGGCCAAAAAATTCACTTTTTTAGCGCCGCAGGGGAAAATTTTAAGAATTTTTGAAGATTAAGAAGCCAGATTTCCTCCATTTTCTGCGCCGAGGCAAAAATTTTGAGAATTTTGGAAGTCCTTAAGCCAGATTTCCTCCATTTTCTGCGCTGCAGGCAAAAATTTTGAGAATTTTAGATGGCTATGCGGTAATTTTGTCAAATAAAAAATAAGAAATCAATCCTTAGGGGTGTTAAAAAATACCGACGGTATCTTACACTAATCCCGATACCGATACCGGCCTCGGTTTCGGTATCAGCAAAAACGGTATCGGGATTTGTCTTTCGGTGTCGGTATCAAAAAAATCGGTATAATACCGCCCGATACCGGTCGGGATCCCGATACCGGCCAACTCTACTTTAATCCCAGAATACTGTTAATTGAATTACCCTTAAGAAAGAATATCACAGATAATTCAAACATGATATCCCCTAAAACGTACCATCGATTCACGACCAAATCCCCAAATCCCCGTACCATAATCGAAGAATTCTTCCAATTGTCAGCGCCGCAGGCGAAAATTTTTTGAAATTTTGAGCTCAAGAAGCCAAATTTCATACATTTTTTGCGCCGCAGGCAAAAATTTTGAGAATTTTGGAGGCCAGGAATAGGGCGAAAATAGGGCGAAATTGTCAAAAATAGGGCAAATGCCCTGTAAATAAGGCAAAAGGGACACCCTGATGAAAATATCTCAAGGAAAAATTATTGGCCGGTCTCTTGTAAAGTATTTCGGTATTATAATGAGAAAACAATGACTTCTAATAATGATCCGTATGATATTGGTTTTGATAGAGTCGGATACCGGAAATGATAAACACTAGTCCCTGGTTTGAACAATGAAGGAAAACCTCAGGAAACTATAGAAAAATAGGATTAAAGTGGTGGACACAACAGTGAGTGGAGGTCAATAAAATTGACCATCCAAAAAAAGGAGCAATTTTTAATTGGATTTACCTATCTTCCTCAAATCCTCTTAATCCGTCCTAATCCTTAAAATCCACCTATATCTTCGCATAATCCTTTCAATCTCTCGATATCCCTCTTAATTTGGCGAGGACGGAGGGATGAGAGAGAGCCCCACTGATGGGTTCTCCGGACACGTTGAGGGGGGATATCAGGTCCAACATGTATTGCAACCCTCTCTGTTGTTGATTCCGAGTTTTCTCGAACTAGACTTTGTTAACGGTACATGTCTAGGTGCAATTTTTAACTGGTAGTCTTCCAAAAAAGTATCAATGAACAGCCTTATAAGTGTTCTTATAACCTCAATATTCTTTAATTAACTCACTCGTGTAAATCAACACATTTTCCAGATTCCTCTGCTTCTTTTAATAAATTAATATTTATTTTAATAGAATCCTCGATTATTGGCATTATCTTAAAAATCATTATTTTTAATTAAAAAATTCTTTTTACTCTTTTTAAATTAGAAATTGAAAATGCTGGATTGGCAATTGAACGAAGTCGTTTCCATCGCTTTCCTTTTGCAAGGAATAGATGAATCAATTTACTTGTATCTACATCACCAACAATAGGGCAAAGCTTTTAAAAAATAATTATTTAAAATTTTATTTTAAATAAAATGTACATTTTTATAACTTTATTAGTGTGAATATTTAAAATTACAATTTCCTCTAATGGCTATTTCATTATTTTCCTCCTCTGGGGGCTATTTTAGCGAAAATTAATTGTAAATACCATATTTATATTTCCTCATTTATTATTGCAAGGCCGATAAAATTTCTCGGCCCAGTTAATAAATCTACCAGACAGGTATAGTTTATTTTTATAGGAGGGTTCTGCCGCTTTACCTAATATGTATATCTGACTTGAATATAGTCAGTCAATTGACACGAGTTCCCGAAGTTGCATAGCTATATCTCTGTTTAATATTTTCGATCTAAATCATGCTAGGACTTTCTAGATTCGAAAATTTTAAACAAAATTATAGGCGCACGCGGATTGGACTGCGTTCTGGGGATAGAATTAAAAGAATAACACCAAAAATATGATTTTCAATTAAAAAATTTTGAACTTACAGCCCTTCCATGAAAATATTCAAATTTATCAACGAGTAATTCCTTGACTAATTCTGGTTCACTAACAACCAACACATTAAACCATCCATTTTTAATCCCATAAATTCTTCCATATTTTTTACTCCAATTAAATAATTGTAACGATAAAGGATTTTTATTTCCAAAAATTAAATCTATATTTCCTTTTAAAGGTAAAGGTTCTGGCCCTGGAATTCCTCTATTTTTCCAATAATTATTTTTTCTTATATCGGTCCAAAATAATAATAATAGTGAAGATGTTGTTATTATTAATAATATTATTATTAAGAAAATCATTTTTTTCTTATTAAAAATAAAATATGTATAATTAAAAAATGTTTGTTTTAGATTATAATTCTATAATTTAAAATTTGCGATCAAACTTGTAACACATTAATGAAATAAACAGCTACTGGGTTAATGGAAAAACAGCTACTGGTATACTTATCATATTAAAATAAAAAAATATTGATAAAGTTAAAAATAAAAATAAAGGTTAAAAATAATTACAATATTTTACGCGTTATCGAGTTAAGTTAATATAAAGTAAATAAGTGACAAATATTTATATAACATAAGTATGTAAAAACGTAGTTTATAATTAATGTAGTTTGTAAAAATTAATAGTAAATAATCTAAAAAATTCTTTTGATACAAAACTAATTTAAAAATTTATTCTTGATCAATTATTTTAATTATCTCAAAAAATAATTATATGTAGACTATAATTATATTTATTATGACTATAGTAAACAGAATATTGGTAAAATTTAATTCTGGCAAATATGTAGTCTGTAGTTAATAAATATTTAATAAAAAATAGATAGCAGATAATTTAAAAATTCTTTCAAATACTGCGTAACAAAATGATAGGACACCATGTTTTTTCGAGATACCTATCTCAATGAAAAAGTGACATTGAAAAAATTTTTTGTAATTAGTTTTAATGGATTGAACGCCGTTAGGCAAAACAGCGCAAGAAAATTATTTTTAGATTATTTTCAAATAGCCTCAGATTATTTCAATAAATTGTTTTCAAGTAGCCTCATCCAAGGGAGGCTATTTGAGAGGTAGGCGTACCCCAGCTGAATTGCAGCATTACAAACGCTTATTTGAACAACAAAATCCTGAAACAGCAGGAAAGGTTCAGCATGCACAATATGCAGTGGAAGAAGCTTTGTGGAAGATTGTGGATATAGAATGGATATATCACCATTAATCCCTTTAAATTCTCAAAAATACTCTATTCTTTTACCTTTTTAGCGCCGCCGTAAAAAATTTTGAGATTTTTGAAAAAGCAAAGGCAAAAACGATGAGATTTTTGGTAGGCAACGTATGTGATCCTTTATTGCTATATCTCTGAAATTTTCTGCAAAAAATTTTTACATTTTGGAAACCCAATAAGCCAAATTTCTTCATTTTTAAGCTCCACGGACGAAAATTTTGAGAAATTTATAAAATCAAGGACAGATTTCATCGTTTTTTTTCGCATTTAAAAAAGAATAAAAATATATCAAAATGGTAAAAATGTGGCAAATATGACAAAACTATAAAATAGTGAAAACATTTGGAGATAAGGTTAAAAATAGAGCAAATGCCCTGTAAATAAGTTAAAAGGGACACCCTGCTTCAGACTTTTCTCAATTCATATCTAAGATTTGAAGGGGATAGAAAAAATACTATAATGTGATAAGCTCGAAGATAAAAAACAATTCTTGTTAATGTGCCAACTTTTCAACAGAAGGGATCGTGGATGCTGGAAAAGCCGAGATCGATGTCGAGTGGCGATTTTAAAAATCGATTTTAAAAACCGAGGATTTTAAAAATCCGCGGGGAATTATAATGGCCCTGCTCTCTAGGCCCTGCCACAACCGTGGATTTAATGTAGTATTTATTTATTTATTTAAAAGAAAAAATAGAACATTAGTAAATTCGACAATTATAAATTTTATTGATATGCCAATTCTTCAACGGAAGGACACATACATACTAAATTTCGATCACCAAAAGAATCATCAATTCTTCCACAGGATGGCCATACCTTCCTTGGAGTAAGACACCATGGCTTTGGCCAACCAGCTTGTTTTCGACTGTAAGGTCTGTCCCAATTGTCGGCCATCAAAACTGCTTGGGTGTGTGGGGCGTTCTGAATAGAAAAATTGGTAGACGATACTTTAACCCTACTTTGTAGAGATCAATGTGTAGTTGCCCTTTAGCTATTTGCTCTATTTCTTGTTTGATTGAAATCAAAGAATCACAGTACCGATCCAATTCGGCTTTGTCTTCACTTTCTGTCGGTTCAATCATTAAACTGTCACGTATCGGCCTATAAAAAATTATAAGTTTCTTCTCTAATAAGAATTTAAAAATCTAGCCAATGCATTGTTGGTGCATGAAATCCAAAATCCATTAAACGTTTAGCTATATCATCCACTTCAATACCAAATTGCTTGAAAGGTTTGCAGTCTATTATGAATTCATGAGCGTTTAAGCCTTGTTCGTCTCTGTAAACAACTCGATAGCCAGCATTTTCTAATCTTTTTGCCATATAATTAGCATTAAGTATAGCCATTTGGGAGGCACTTTTTAGACCAGAAATACCCATTCTTTAAAAAACATTTAAAAAATAAATATGAAAAAACTTATTTTACAATCTAATATATGCCCAAGTAATTGGCAAAATACTGGCACTTCCCCAAGGTGCACCGCTCACAACGCCATCATATCTTTCTCCATTTTGTGGTATTATTGGATGTCCAGGTAGGAAAGGTGCAAGATGTGATTTACTTAAATAATTTATTTAAATTTGGTGGGAAGATTTTTTTGATGGAAGGAAATCTTGGAAATATTTCGTAGATAAATTCTAGTGTTGTTAAAGACAGAAAATTTCCAAGACTCAGGCTGGACCTAAAGTCTAAAAGTTAAACATAAGACCAAGAAAGAAAACCCCCAAGAAAGTCTTTGGACAAGAGCCTTGAGCTTAGGATCATTCTTTTTCCCAAAATTTATTGAAAAAGGACTGTCCTCATTTAATATTTAATTATTGGGTCAAAATCGTTTTAAAAGTATTTAAAAATTTTTAAGCAAAAATTTCCCTCAAAATAATTAAGTTTCCATTAATAGTACTCATCTCTCCCCATATTTCCATTTATTTCCTAATAATATCTACACATACACTCCAATTGGTCCCATTCCTGGTCCTCCACCACCATGAGGTATACAAAAAGTTTTGTGTAAATTAAAATGGGAAATATCACTTCCATAATCTCCAGGTCGGCAAAGACATGCTTGGGCATTAAAATTAGCCCCATCCAAATAAACTTGACCTCCTTTGAAAATATTTTTTTTCAAAAATTATATTTAAATGATATAACCATGCTCATGTATTTTATTGCAAACTTCTTTAATTTGTGATTCAAAAACTCCATGAGTTGACTATTAAAAAACGAAAAGATTTTTGAAAAAGTTAGATAGATTTGTATTAAATAATTAAATATTTGCTTCAAAGAATTTAGGACCTATGTATATTGTGCATGTGTTATAACTAGAGCCCGGATTTTTATGCATTAAAAAATGCAAAATATGCACTATAATATGCATAAAAAATTGCCAAAATATGCACAAAAATATGCAAGTAAACCAAAATATACACGCATATATGATGAAAAATACCATTTATACCTAAAAATTTTACATATTTTTAGTCAATATGATTTAAAATACATTTTTTTATTAAGATTTCTCCTATTTTAAATGTATAGTTCGACAAATTGAGCATTTTTACGGTGTTGGGCATTTTGAGATGAGGCATTTTGGTGGTGGGACATCTTGGGGGCGACGTTTTGGGGCTGAGACATTATGGGGGTGGGCCATTTTCTGGCGAAACCAATAAACACAAAAATTTTTTTACAAAATTTGTAATTTTTACAAATTTTTTCCTAAATTTTTACTAAATTTTCACTTTTTGGCAGGATTTTAGGCAATTTTCGCAATATTTTCCCCAAAAACCTCAAAATATGCAGTAAAATATGCATTATGCAACAAAGTCCGGAATATGCAAAAATATGCATTATATGCAAATAGAAACCCCCTATAAAGCTTTCAAAACTTGCGGAAACAGTGTTTTTTGTGCATAACACATCATGAAAAGTTTGCAAAAAAAAATATGCATTTGCATAAAAATCCGGGCTCTAGTTATAACTTAGGATAAGTAAAGCTTCTACTCCCATAAAACTGGTGATTCGCGATATAAACTATAGTGAAATTGAGCTAGGTATAAAATGGGTTCGAATTTAGATGTTACCACATTATTTAATACTAACAGCCCTAAAGATTTCATAATTTTATTTTATTTAAAGTTAAATGAAAAAAACCGATTTTGTTGTTAATTTAAAAAATTAAATTTTTGTTTAGAAGGGGGGGTGTAAGATAAAAAAATAACACTTTTAAGGCTTTGATTAATTTTGAAAAAATAATCTTACAGGATATGTAATCATTGCACATGCTAATTCATTAGAAAAACGTTCACACTTAAATATTTATTTAAATATTAATTTTAACTTATTTTTTTTTAACTTTATCAGAGAGATCTTTAAAATTAATATTTCCATGTTTATCTGATTCAACTGGGACAACTTTAAAATTAGCCATATGTGCAGTAGCTGGGTTAGTTCCATGGGCAGATACAGGTATTAAACAAATCTTTAAATTTTAATAAATTTATTTAAAAAACTTTTTTCTGAAACAAATTTACATTTCTTTGGCCCTCCCCTTTAGAATGGAAATAACCACGAATCGCTAACATACCAGCATATTCACCATTAGCCCCACTAAAAAATTTGAAATAAATTTGATAAAAGAAAAGTTCCTTTTAAAAAAAATTTTTTTAATAAAAAATGTAGGTTGATTAAGGTAGACTGAAAATAATTTTAGATTCATCACTCTTTTCGATTTACTGAATTTATAACCAAAAAATTTAGCTAGTTCGGAGTTCCGAATAAAACAAAACATGGAAGGGGACGGGGGAAAGGGGAGAGCTTCAACTAGAATAAATTCTGAAGAAGAATTTCTTAAAACAAAGATTTAATCCATTTCAGAAGTCTAAGGTTTAACTTAACCATAAATATTAAGAATATTTTCAGTTAAATTCACTAAATTAAAAAAAATTTAAAATTGTCTACACATCATAGAAATGTTTCAATAAATAATTATTTACTAGTACCTATTTGGCTGTAAAGAGAATTTATCATAACCAGTAAGTTCACACAACCAACGTTCCAAATCATTAAAAATCTAACAAAAATTAACAATTGAACTAATTAATTCCAAATTACTTTAGAATATCCTTTTGTTTGTTCTGTAGGTACAAAAGGGTGAATATTAGCTAATTTCGGCCAACTTATCTTTAAATAATTTTTTTAATTTAAATAAAGTTTGTAAAATGTTACAGGAATTAATTCACAACTTGCATTTAATTTCATAGTACAAGAACCGAGGGGAATCTATAATTTCAAAAATTAATTTGAAAATAAAATTATTTTAACCATTGAATGGACAAGTGAGAGATCTTTATTTTCAAGTCTTTTCATATATCTTTAAATAAATTATAGGTATTTAAAATTATTAATAAAAATATTGTTAGTTTAAAATTTGATAAAATTATTAAAAATTATTCACCTAATAATCTGAGTTTCACTATGATAACTATTAAATACATGCCCAGTTAAAAAAGGTGAATGTCTAGAATGTAGAGAATTACCAATTAAGGGTGTTGAAGTTTCCATTAATTTATTTTGAATTTCGTTCTAAAAAAATTTAATTCTTAAGTAATTTAATTATAATATTATAGAACTAAACACTGGCCAGGGACGGGTTTTCAATGCCCGATAGCCCGTAAAGCAAATATTTTGAAAAAGTCTGTTTTGTATTGGGGGAGGTTCAGGATTCAAACCCGTTAATTTTTTCCTCACATTAAAAAATGTATCGGCACCGATTCTTGTGTCTGAAAGACCGCCAGGGTCTTTGTAAAAAAACCATTGATACCAGTCTCGACAATAATTTCGAGCTCTGATTATAGTAGTTTTAAATTTACCTCACAAATATTAATTCCAAATAAATAAAGAATATCACAAATATCACCAACTTTTTAAAAATTATTTTTTAAAAATTATTTTTCTAAAAATTACTTTTAGTTGTTTCATCTAAAGAGATACCAATATAACCATCTTTATAATTTCTAACATTTATTCTTTTTTCCTCACATTTTAAATCAAATAATTGCTTATTTAATGGTAGGATTTTTAATGTATCGAAAAAACATTTATGGACAACTTGAATTCCATTAGCTTTTAAGGCTTAAAAGATTAATTTTTAATTATCTTTAAGGTAAATATTATATTTTGGGTACTTATTTAAGAGTCTACCCAGAGTATTGACACCCAAAGTATCATATCCAAAGTAGTGATGACCCAAAGTATCGAAAACTATACGATTAACATTAAATTTTTGAAATTTTATTATACAACAAAGGGAGGTTGTTACAAGGAAGTGGAAGATTATTTTGATCAAAATTTTCAATTGATCAACAGAGATCACTCTATGCAGAGCGTAAACAGCTCTTTTTCGGGCCAAAATTCGATGCCTGATTCGATCTATCACACCGAACCAAGCCAGGCCGGCAACCCGAATTGGATTAGCAAAAATTCTGAACTGAACAAAATCAAATTACTTTGAGAAAGAAATGATGTAGCTTTATGTATCCTTTTTGCAATATAAACTAAACGATTGGGTCCATGATAGATTGCATACCTTAAAATATTCAAAAATAATTTTTCTTAAAATTCTCTCAATATCTCTCCGTCAAATAACTTAAAAAACACGAACATTGCAGAAATATTAGCGGGAAGTGCTTGAGCAGTGCAAATATTGGAGGTTGCTTTATCTCTTCTAATATGCTGTTCTCTAGTTTGGAGAGTTAAACGATAAGCAATATTTCCCTGTTGATCTCTTAATATTTGAATAAAATAGCTTAAATAATTTCCAAAAACACCTAGAAACTCCAACAATCCTTCCAGGCATTTGTCTAGCCAAAGCTAAATTGGCAACAGACATAAAACCAGCATGAGGCCCGCCATAACCAAGAGGAAGTCCAAACCGTTGAGCACTACCTACTGCAATATCTGCACCCAAATCTCCGGCAGAACGTAAAAGTGTAAGAGAAAGTAAATCGCAAACCATTATAACGAGAATCTAAAAATTGATATAGAATTATTATTTGTATAAAACCCTGTTTTTCATATGTGAAATGGAATTCTGACATCCTCAGTTTATCAACAATCCCGACCCATATCTATTATTAGCGATATTCACTTTTTATCTTACTCTTGACCAGGGATTTCATTCAATCATCTCTGCTCTTGACATGTTAATGCCCAGCATAAATACTCAACCAATATGGTTATTATTTAATTATAAAAAGTAAATATCTAATCTGTCCTACTATTCACCTTTTCTTTATGTGCGTATTGAATTAATAAATCCAAATCTTCATAAATTAACCCTTCTGTGTTGGGATATTGTAAAATAATTGCAGCAATATCATCTCCAAACTTTTTATTAACATTTACATCATCAATATCCAAAGGTTTAAAGTTAATATCCATTGGTTCTGAACGTGTAGCCATTACACCAATATTTTGTGGATGTAATCCAGTATCATAAAGGATTGCTGTAAATAAATTTATTAAGAGTTGTGTTATCGAAAAATCAAAGAAACTGAGGATATTTCTGTTCAGACCTTCGGTTAAGTTCCGGATTCCTAAGATTTCTAAAAACTGACTACACTAATTATGGGAAAATACCATGACTGAAACTTAAATTTAAGTATGTTTTCAAATCAAATCTCTATTTCTATGGATACATGAAATAAAATTCCCGGTAATAAAATTTCATTAAAGCCGTTCAGCATATAACCGTTCAAATATTCATTGTATTTTTCCTGGATTTATTTAAGATTTTTTTTTAATTTTGGCTAAATTTTGGCCCCACTGTCTTGACCGTGATGTGGTGACGCCCAGACTCAATTGACTTTAAATTTAAAATTTGTTGTTTACTCGAAAATAAAATTTAATAATTTTTTAAATAAAAACAAACTTCTCCTTTTAGTTACACGAACAGCTAAAGCAATAGCTTCAGCACAAGCAGTACTTTCATCTAACAACTTTAATTGAAATTTATAAACAAATTGAAATTAAAAAAAATTATTTTAAATTTAATTTACTGAAGCATTTGCAAAGGGTAAACCAGTTAAATCAGATATCATAGTCTGGAAATTTAAAAGACTTTCTAAGCGCCCCTGCGCTATTTCTGGTTGATAAGGAGTATATGGGGAAGTCCTAGAAAATTAAGATAATAAAAATTTAATTAAAATTAAAAAATTTTTCTTGGCTGGCAAATCCAAAATTTTAAATAAAGTCACTAGGTAATAAAGCATGTAAAAAACAAGGACTGTTTTGTTTACATAATGTCAACAAAATTTAATCTTGTTTGACTCGACATAGGAAGGTTTGGTAGTTGCGAATATCCGAAACAGAAAAAGGTAGGCAATCTTTAAAAATTATTAGGAAATTTTCAGGTCGGTTCCTGATATCCTGGATTTCCCAGGAACCGCATTTGGAGAGAAGTAAAGAACATTAAACTTTTACTTTTTTTTAAATTAAAATAATTAATCACCATCCAGCATTTTGTAACATATTTTTAACAATTACTGAAGGGACAATACAATCTTTAAAATTATTTTTCAATAAATTTTTGATAAATGAATATATCAAATAATAACATACCATAATATCCCATACCTAAAAATTAATAAAATTAAAATAAAATGAGTAATAAATTATTTTTAAAAATTATTCACTTAATTCATTTTGTCGCGAAATGCGACTTGTTTATTTTAAATTGTACCCTTTTGTCCCTTGTCCTTTTTGTTGAGAATATTTTTATTTTTAAATTTATTTTTAAATCATGCGTAATCGAAATACGCCTACTTCTTTCAAATTTTTCCCATTATTCATTGCACTTTCTATATTTTTTGTTATTTTTATGTTAAATCCCTCCCTTTTTTTCCTCTATTTAAACGTTAGGAATTTAGGGCATAATCAGAGTTTATTTTTTTAAATTCTCAGAAAAAAGAGTTTATTTGTAAATTCTCAGAATTAAGAGTCTGTGTAGATTCTCAAGAGCTTTTCTAATTGTAATAGATTTTGTTTGAATAAAGTTGTGTAACTTTTATTCTTTTGATTTATTTAAAGTAAAGAATTGAACTTAGAACTTAAAGAGTTTGATTTAAGTTTTCCAAGTTTAGAGTTCTTTGACTAAGAATTCTTTGTGTTTCTATTTGAGTTAAATTTGAGATTTCTAGAGATTTCTAGAATTTTAGTTATAAAGTTTAGATTGTAAAAAGATTTAAATAAATAAAGTTTATTGTTTGTGAAACATTTTAAATAGAGTTTTGAGTTAAGATATCTTCTCCTAAAGAGTTCTTTAATTTGATAAAGTTTCTTGTTTGTGAAACTAATTTGTTTACTCGAAAAGAACTCTCATTATTTAGCAAAATATTAAATATTTGTATTAATATTTTTTTTATTTTGCGACAATTGGAGCCCCGTACAAAAAAAAAGATAAAACAATTTGTTTCGTTGTCAGAAATAAGTTGTTACAATTTGAATTGCTTCAGATAAAGTTATTTGTTAAAAAAAGTTGTCTAAAAAGTCTGAATTTATTGAGTTGTTTTTATATAAATTTAAAGTGAATTCAAAGTTGATAAAAATGTCTGGACCATATAAGACTATGATAGGTATTATATTAAAGCATTTAAGAATTAGAATGGAAAATGATGAACAGATTATAAATAAAGATGAAATTGATGATGATGAAAAAGAAAAAGTTATAAGTGACGGAAAATTTATTGTAAAAATTGTAAAAACTTTAAATGAGAAAAATCAACTTTGGTTAGACTTTATAAATAGTTTAGATAGTGATGAAAGGAAAAAAGAAACAAAGATATACGAAAATTATAATTTTGAAAATAAACATTTTTATGAATGGATCGATAAAGGAAGAGAAATTGTTGATTCGATCGATGAACTAATTTTTCAGAGAAACCCAGATACTTCTGAAAATAATTCTGTAGTAACACAGATAAACAATGTAGAAACAAGAGAATTAACTGTTCAATTGCCTAGACTTGAATTGCCCGAGTTTCATGGAGATCCTCATCATTGGATTTCCTTTTGGCAAAGTTTTGAATGTTCAATTGATAAGCAGAATTTTAGTAAAATAGATAAAATGAAATTTTTGATTAATTGTTTAAAAGGAGAAGCAAAAGATGCTATCTCAGATTTAATGTTAACTAACGAAAATTACGAAATTGCAGTTAAAATATTAAAGGAAAGATTTGGTGATAAAAATATTTTGATTGAAGCTTTGGAATCTGAATTATTTCAATTCCCCGTTTGTACAGAAAAAGCAATTTCGTTGAAAAATACAGTCGATAAAATTGAAAAAATATTTCGACAATTAGAAAGTTTAGGAGAAAATACAAATAATTCGATTATGACTTCATTAATAAAGTCAAAGCTTAATAATAATATTTTAATGGAAATTGCCAAAGAAGAGAAAACTTTGGGCAAAAAATGTAATACTAATGAATTAAGAAAAGCTTTAATTGAAATGGTTAATATAAGAGAATCAGTTTACCAATCGAGTAAACATTTTAATGTTTCACAAAATGATAGTCAGTCAAGTTTACAAGGGGAAAAGAGTCGAAAATATAAAAAATTTAATAATGATGAAGATAAAAAATCTGAGAATAATGACGAAATTAATGTAGTTAATCAGACTAGATCTTTTCCCGTGACTATAAATAAAAGAAATATTATTTGTTATTTTTGTAATGGAAATCATTGGTCCAATACTTGTAAAAATGTTGCAGGTTTGGAGGAACGCAAGAAGCGTTTATTTGAACAGCGAAGATGTTTCCGTTGTTGTGCAAGAGGTCATATCTCGAGAAAATGTTTTAGTAAAAAATATTGTTTCTTTTGTAAAGGACCTCACAATACTGCTATTTGTCATAAAAGGACAAAATGTTTTTTAACCTATGGACCTCAAAATGTTAAAATTAATTATGAAAACCGAAAATTCCAAAGTTGGAAAAAGAAAAGCTCAGATTGTAAAATTGTAAGTAAAAAGGTTGAAAAACCTAAAATTGAAAATAAAGTTTTGAAAACGCAGAATTTGTCAGTAAATACTTGTACTTCTTTGTTAAATAATTCATCGCCGAATTTAATGATTTTGAAAACTAAAGTTTTTTCGACAATGAATAAGAACAAGAAAATTAATGTTTCTATATTCCTGGATACTGGTAGTGAAGTTAATTATATTACTGATGAATTAGTTAAGAAATTAAATTTAACAAAACGAGGTGAAGGTTTTCTACAAGTATCTACATTTCAAGGTAATAAATCCAAGAAACAGCTTACTGGGAAATACTCAATTGGAATTGAAAGAATAGATAGAAAGAGAGAAATTATTGAGGTATTAAGTGTTGATAAAATTTCCAATGAATTACAATCTGTTAGTACGAATGGAAATAATTCTAACATAAAAATTAATGAAATTAAAAATAATTTAACTAACAATTGTGTAAAACCAGACTTGCTGATAGGAATAAAAGATTTTTGGAGATTTTTTAATGGAAAAACTGAAATTTCAAAAGGATGTTATTTAATAAAGACTACTATTGGAAATGTTCTCTGTGGTGAAAATCAGAGAAAATTGAAAAGGACAATGCTAGTCCAAACTCATGTAGTTGTTCACTCTTTTGAAGAGATGTCGAATAAATCTGATGTTAAATCCTGTCGAGATTTTCAAAATGTAAACATAGAAAAGGATAAAACAGTTCAGAAATTATTAATTCCGTCAGTGAAACAAAGTAATAGAAATGATGAAGAAAAATATTTCTGTAAAGAAGAAATTATTTCAAGAAAGAAGCATTGTGCTAAAGTAAAGCATAAAAATAGATTACAAAAGAAATTGCAAGGATTTAATAAATATAAAATAATGAATAAAGTTCTGATAAAGTATTTTTTGAATATAGTTAAATTATTAGTCGTGTTTTGTAAAATGTTGCTAATATTTAGTTTGATCGATTTAACTTATAAATTAAAATGTTTAAGAGAAACTATGGATTTAGAAGAAGAATTAAATTTTCAAATTCTTGAATTTGATAATAATAGAATTTTACTAATTCCAAATTTGAAAGTAAATAGGCAAGATAAATTTAATTGGAAATACTTCAGAGAAACATTCAATTATGTAGTAAAATATAGAGATAAATTGGAAAAGTTTGATTATTTAGAATTTAAAAAGGACATACAAGATAAAAGAATTAAACAAAGTGATAAATTGTTGAAAGAATATAAAAAGAGTACGTCCTTTAAGATTGAAAAGATAATGAAAATATGTTCTCTAATAAAAATTGTGTTCTGGCTCATGAATTCTTGCTACTTTGCTACAAGGAGGCTGTGCAAAATGGGATACTTCAACTCAAAAATGTTTGATGCTGAATTTGAAAGAACCGGAAGAAGGGACTTGGAATGATGAAGAGGATGTTTCAAAGAAAGAAAAATTTTTATCCTTTCATCTAGTTTATTGTTTTGTTTTTCTCGCGCTCCCGAGTGTCGCGAAATGCGACTTGTTTATTTTAAATTGTACCCTTTTGTCCCTTGTCCTTTTTGTTGAGAATATTTTTATTTTTAAATTTATTTTTAAATCATGCGTAATCGAAATACGCCTACTTCTTTCAAATTTTTCCCATTATTCATTGCACTTTCTATATTTTTTGTTATTTTTATGTTAAATCCCTCCCTTTTTTTCCTCTATTTAAACGTTAGGAATTTAGGGCATAATCAGAGTTTATTTTTTTAAATTCTCAGAAAAAAGAGTTTATTTGTAAATTCTCAGAATTAAGAGTCTGTGTAGATTCTCAAGAGCTTTTCTAATTGTAATAGATTTTGTTTGAATAAAGTTGTGTAACTTTTATTCTTTTGATTTATTTAAAGTAAAGAATTGAACTTAGAACTTAAAGAGTTTGATTTAAGTTTTCCAAGTTTAGAGTTCTTTGACTAAGAATTCTTTGTGTTTCTATTTGAGTTAAATTTGAGATTTCTAGAGATTTCTAGAATTTTAGTTATAAAGTTTAGATTGTAAAAAGATTTAAATAAATAAAGTTTATTGTTTGTGAAACATTTTAAATAGAGTTTT